CCCCCGGCCCCCGGGCCCCCCCCCCCCCCGTGTCCCTCCCCATGTCCCCTCCATGTTCCCCCTGTCCCCCACACCTGCGGGCCCCTCCCCGGGCAGAAGGAGCAGGAGGATGAGCAGGGGGAGGGGGCGACTCGGTGGCGCTGCCATCCAGTCCCCGTTGTCCCCAAGTTGTCCCGGCGCTGTCCCCGCGGCTCCCGCCCACGCTGGGGGGGGATGTCTCCGTGTAGCCCGCCCGAGGCCACCGTCGCCCCGGTGACACCCTTGGGCCGCGGTGATGTCACGGGAGACGTCACCCGAGTGCCCCCGCGTGTCCCTGATGTGCCACCAGTATCCCCCTGTTCCCCCCTCCCCCCCCCGATGTCCACAATGCCCTTCCCAGCACCCTGGTGTCACCTGGATCCTCCAGCTGTCCCCCCCGTGTCCCCAACCAGTGTCCCCAAAACCCCGTGGCCTCTACCACCCCCCTTGGCACCGGTGTCCCCTGTGCCATTCCTTCCCGTGTCACCAGTGTCCCCAGTGTCCCTCTGCTGTCCCCAACGTCCCTCCGCTGTCCCCAGCCCCTTCTTTCCCATCCCCAATGTCCCACATCTTGATGTCCCCAAGGTCCATCTGTGCCATCCCCCATCCATGCCCCTGCTCCCCACCCCCATCTCAATGTCACCAGGTCCCCAATGTCCCATCTCTTGTCTCCAATGTCCCCCCCTCCACTTTCTCGTCCCTGTCCTCAATGTCCCCATGCCATGTCTCCCTATGTCCCCATCCCCTCTTCATCCCAATGTCCTGTGTCCCCCCATCCCAATGTCCCCAATGTCCCATGTCCCCCTCCCAATGTCCCCAATGCCTCAAATGTCGTGTCCCCCCTCCCCCTCCCAATGACCCCAATGTCCCCATGTTTCCCCGTGTCCCCCCCATGTCCCCAGAGCCTGATGCCGACGCGGCCCCTCGGGTTCCACATGCGCATTTATAATAATAATAATTAATAATTAATAATAATTAATGAGGGTGACGGGGGCGGCGCCGCCCACGCCCCCAATGCACTAAAACTGCACCTGCTGGCCTTGGGGACAGCGGGGACACAGCCTGACCCTGATTGTCACTATGCCACCATTGCCCTGCCACTCGGGGCCACCCCAGGCCGTGTCCCCAGTGTCACCCCCCCCAGTGTCACCTCCTGGTGTCACATCCCCGGTGTCACAGCCCCAGGACTGGGCCCTGTGATGTCACGTCCATGACGTGTCCATGTCCCCAGATCATCATTCTGTGTCCTTCAGCTCCGTGTCCCCATTGTCACAGCCTGGGGACATCTCTGTCCTGTGTCCCCGTGTCACATCCTGGTGCCACGTCCTGATGCCATCCCTGTGTCCTGTGTCACTTCCCGGTGCCATCCTGATGCCATCCCTGTGTCCTGTGTCATGTCCCGGTGCCATCTCTGTCCTGTGTCCCTGTGTCACATCCTGGTGCCATCCCCGTGTCACATCACAGTGCCATCTCTGTGCCATCCTTCCGTGTCCCCTCGCTGTCCCTTGCCGTCACATCCTCGTGCTGGCTCTCCACACTGTCCCCTGTGCCACGTTCCTGCGCCATCTCCATGTCCCCAAGTGCCACCTCTGTGTCACATCCCCGGTCCTGGTGCCATCTCCGTGTCCCCTCAGGGGAGAGTGCCACAGCCCCAGGCCCCGGTGTCACATCCACGTCACATCCATGTCACATCCCCTAGCCATGTCCGCGTCCCTGGGCCATCTCCCCGTTTGTCACCTCCCAGTGTCACCTCCCTGGTGTCACACCCCAGAGTGACACAATCTTGGTGCCAACTCCCTGTCCTGTCTCCAGCCCGGTCCCCACACGGGACCCTGTGGGAAACTGAGGCAGAGCCAGGGGGACACCGAGGTGACAGGGCTGTCCCCTGGCCTTGGGAAGGAGGGGACAGTGGGAGGGGACATGCTGGGATGGCAGGGACACACTGGGACACCACAGGGACAAGCTGGGGACACTCCAGGCCG